CCTTCCTCTTTAAGGCATTTGATTACGGATAAACCAATGATAAACGGGGTAAGCGAATAGAATATGATAATTTCTAGAGTCTACATGGAACTTGATAAATATAACGACATTGAATTTGAGCTCCTCCACTTGATTCATTACCATCTCCTAGATCCACATAATTTTATATTCTGGACGAATATAATGCTCTTGCAAATTTGACTCTATATATGAGCTCCTCCACGTGATTCATTACCATTTCAATATTTGTTTAGATTTGATTCCCTTTTTAACTAAACACTTTGTGTAGACATATAATTAACTCTAGACGTCTCTCATTTAACGTGGTTAATAATATATTACTATACAAATAAAGTATGAGACTTGTGGTGTGAAGAGACTCCTTGTCACTAATAATTGAGATTTAAAGGTTTAATCAAATAATTTTAATTAGATAAACACGTAATTGATGTTAGCTAGAGAGCTAAGAATCAGCCAATGATGAAAGCGATTGAAGAGAAAGCAAAGAGTCGAATCCATCTTTCCACGTTCAAATAAAGTGAGGAAATGAGTTTAGTTTGACAACACTTGTAACTCTTTGGAACTGTCTTATTGTCTCTATTTCCTGCCTCACCCATGTGTTCGGTTTTTGTTTTTTTCCTTTCTTTTAGTTTTTGTCTCTAACTCTTTATTTTCGCTTTTGATAATAATAATATACACATCAACATGATCTTTAAGTGGGACTTAAAAAAAAATATATATGATCTTTAAGTGGTTTCCAACTTGGCCAATCTTAACTCTTCTCATTGCCACGTTAGAATTGGAACTTGAAAGATCATATTTGCTAAAGAAAATTAAAAGTATAGAGAAATTGTTTAGATTCATTTCCACAAATATATGAAACGGACGGTGATCGCTTTCTACTTCTTCGTATCCTTGTTATTAGCAACAACAAAATCTTTGTGGAAAATAAAATCTTTATATCTATATGTGAAAAAAAGAAGACCACATGTCAGTCTCCACTCCT